CAATAGACAAACTGCCATAGTTCGGCCAGTGTACAACGGTCATAAGATAAAAAAAAATGAATGAAATTTTCTTTTGTGTTAAAAAGTTAGTCAATGTTCCGAAGTCATCAACTGGAACCGATATCTGACAAACCAGCTGGCACGTCCAAACCGCTCCAACGCTGGCACCATTCAGCCAGAATAAAATACGAGGATATCCCTAGCTTCGAGTACTTTCGGAAATCTGTCCAAAATTTGGGCTATGAAAGGAGTTACTCTTCCCAATAAAATCCGCTTGTACCCTGCCACTGTCAGGTCAGTGCTGTTGTACGGCATGAAAACAGCTGTTCTCGCGAAGAAACAAGAAAGTACGTTGAACTGCATAGAACAGCATTGGCAGCATCGAACAGCATCGACGCATAATGAATGTTGAATGGCAGAATCATGTAAGGAATGAGTCTATTCTCTTCTACACGTCAACAGATGTGGAGATTGCCAAACAAATTTTGGCCCTGTTGAATAAACTAGCTGAGTAAAAGCCATTTACACTGCATCCCGCGAGCTTCTAGTGTGGGCGCCGAACATGGTGGACGTCGATTAGGAGGCCCCTACGCCATATGGAGGAACAAGGTAGTAGCACATTTTGCTTCAGGAGAGAAATATTTTCATCTATAATGCAGTAACCGGTGCCTCATAGCAAAAGTGTCTGCGACTACAGCGGACATCGCAAACGGCTCAAGGTGGTGATCTCAAGAAACGAAAACTTATGCCGCATGCAAGCATGCTTTTACGGGATGCCCCATAGGGCATATTTCATTTTGAATTACATGATGCGGATCAAATTAAAGATCAATATCTGGGGTTCCCACTCTGTTAACCGTTTACCTTGAAAATCAACATAACGTTTTACCGTTGATAGCGTGCTTCCGATGGCCAACACGGCATTATTCTGCAACAACTGCTGCTGAACGCTCGGTGAAATCTGCAACAGATGCGAGAAGATGGACAACAAAGTCGAACTGTAAGCAAGAAAAACGCAATCAGTGGTCGGCAGTTGATCTTCCACGCGTAGCAGACACCTACCAAATGGAATGATCGACGAAAGTGCTGCCACATGCCCGTTCCTGAGGCAAGTCCAGCTGATTGAACAATGGCAACAGCATCTGCGCACCGCCGACCGAATGCAAGGTACTGTGAATAGAATGGGTGGTGACGACTTTTACGCCCTGAAATACGTGCATCCCTGTTATACACATCGACGATAGGTCGCTGGTCGTAGAGGAACCCTACTTCCATCATTAGCGCATGTGGTGTATGCATAAAATGGCATTGGTTTTCGCGAGAGATCGAGTTCAAGCACAATTGCCGATCACAGTTTTTGGGACAGTAGGCAAACACCAACAAACTGGCCAGTTTCCCGTCGAATAAATACTAGAAAATGAACCAGCGTTTACAGGCATTCCGTTTAATGCAAAAATCTCGTCTTACCTTCACGTAGCCAGCCGGAATGTCCACTTCGTTTCTGAATTTGAAACAGCTTTGGTAGCCTGCGCCGAGACAGTACAGGCTGTTAATTTGTTGAAGATTCAGCGACTCGGAGAACAGATAAACGGCTCCCATCTGGCCACTGAACGTGTTTCGGTGTTCAACATCGGCGCTACATCCGATGAAGCAACGATCGAAGTGCTAAGGAAGTTTAGATCATGGGCACGAGAAACAGGAGAGAAAAGTAGAAAAAACGAATAAGCCAACGAAACTTGCACAACACTACCATGCTTACCTCACTGTTATTGACTGGCCAGTTGAGGTCAAGAGTAGAAACAAGTTGGCCGTCGATGTAGCACTGGACCTCGTTACGGCCCCACCGACTAAACACGTACACCAGTACGACATGCTGCCATTTGCGCTGCTGTATTTCGTATTTGATGCATCGCTGAACGCCCTGTGAGCTTTTGCCTTTCACTGCTGACAGGACGAGAAAGTTTCCCACGAAGTAGCAAGCGTAATTGAAATTGGGGGTACCAAAACTACAAAAATGAAATTTCCTACTCGGTGCTGTCACAAACAGTTTGAAATATCGAAATTCAACATCGCGGAATTCTGTTTTGATGCAAATCGGTCTGATTTTGCACAACTAGCTAACTTCAAGAAAATGACTTTTGAATCTTTTAAGAGAGTTGCCTGCTCCAGAAAAAAAGACCACGCCTAAAGGCAAGAAAATATATATATGCATATGTGCTATATGGCCCTGGTGATGTTCTTTACGGCTCCGTTCTTGTTGTCAGCATGAACGAAAACTTTGTTCTAGTTTATAATCCGCCGTATTTCGCTCTAATATGCGACCACTAGCTTCAGCCGCTGCACACTTTCCATAATGGTGACTTTGAAGCAATTACAATTTATGTTATCTGATTATGATTGGCATTGTCACTCTTATGGTCACTCTCGTAAAACAAACACATAAATCAAATCGACGCAGTTATCCAAACTGGTAATGTCAGATCCTATAGAATGCCGTCACAGCAAAGGTCGTATTCCGCATCATAAATTGGAGTGCATTAACGAGACGTTTACAAGATTAGTAGCATTCTTCAACATGCACGGTCAGTACATGATTTTCAGCTTTCAAACTGTTCAGTCCAGTGAAGCCAGGCAACTCCCTCTGACTTCCCTTAATGGTTTTCTCAAATAGCTTGTCAGTTACGCCATCGGACTGGCGAATTCTTATTTGCAACACCAAGGTATGGAATCTGTGTGAGCTTAGTCAGTCAGTCCGTTTCAATGACCGCTCACACGTTTCGGTCCGTAGAAGGCAGCAGCGACAGACAGTATCTCGAACGTTATCGATCCTGTACAGCTTCTGAGCTTCAGCAGAAGAAAACCGAGTTTGGAGCAAAGTCCGTCAGGGCAGTTGCTCCAAGTTTATCTTATCTTTTTCGAGGTCCTCAGCCCGTGGATCAAGTAAGCTTTAGCTGTTTTGCTTTCCTTTCAGAAAACATTCGAACGATGTGCCTAAACCATCGCAGCTAACACTTCTCAAACTGGATAAGCAGCTGCTGTAGAGCAAGGCTTTCTCCGATATGTAAACTACGGATTCAGTCGAGACGCGTCAGCACGGCGATTTGTCTCAGAAACCAGTTTCAGTCGCAAGTAGCTGAAGCTGTTTAGTTAGTCCATTAATGCTATGTATCAATTAAAGCTATTGTATCAATACTCTATTTCATATGCCGTAACTTTGAACAAGGACTTTAACGAACCACATATGACTTGAAATGCCAATTATCTGTTTAAAAAAATGTATATGCAGGTTTATTCTAAAAGAAGTAAAGTGTCGATTAAATTCTCCATCATCATCTATTCATGTAAAATCATGTGTCAATATGTCCAAAACAATCTTTCACAGTGTAGCGCCGCTTCTTTACTCCCAGAAGCCAAGGAAGTCATTTAAGCAGGCCATGTAACGAAAATCCCCGTAAGGCATGGATACATCCCTAGTAGCAACGTTTTATTGGCAAAAATTAGTTCACCCGCAACGATAGCTGAAGAGTCTCCAGCTTCCAGAGGTGCTGTCGCAAAACATCAAAAATACGCGTTCGTCCTCCGGGAATATGTGAACAGCGCATAACTCCACCGTAGCTGCGACTAAATACAAGATTTACGTTTCGATTTCAGTTCTATTACTGCTCTTCAGTCTGACTAAAAGCCTTCGAATAATCGCGCACCCAAATAGCCATTTATTTTTAACGTGCATTGCGTTAGCATCTCGAAACTTACTAAAACAAATGTGGCGTCTCCCCTTCGAAATTTCCTGAATTTATGGGATCCATTCGAACCCAGACGCTGAATGTCCATCCGGCGTTGCTGGACCAGCGATTTAGGGGCGGAATTTGTATCCCCTTAAAGTAGCCGAATTGAGCACGGCAAAATGCGAAACCTCGCCTGTTAAAGAACTCACGTTATGATTGCCTCCGGAAAAACTGAAGAATACGTCAGGCCCGTCCTTTCGAAGCACTTGCTGCAGCACCTGAAGCAATTTGGAAGAATGTCGAGCCTGCAAATTATACGGATTATGAGAAACGGTTTTCAGTAAACAGACATACCCATCTGCCGTTGCGAGCCTGCAACGCACGAAGAATACATTTCATGTCTCGCACTTCGATACTGTAACTGGCAAGGACGCTGAGCAATTCTATTAGTAATTCTAAACACAGGAATACAGCAGCTTTAATAATATGCTTTAACAAAAATTTTAATTTTTGCAATCAACAAAAATGATTCCGTTGCTCATCATACAAAAATATAACAAAGCATGGTCAGAAAACGGTTAGTTCGAACTCCTTGGAATGTAGTCCCTGGAATGGTAATCCAAATATCAATAGTGGTTCGATAATCACCACGATTAATGCCATTTAGTGATGTGGCGAATAAACGACTCTGTTGTGGTTTTTGTATAAATTAAAAATGTTGCAAATGCATAGCGGAAACCATATAAACTTTGATTTTGGTGCAAAATATTTTAACACCGAGGACGTTTGTCCAAAAACCATTTCTGTTTCCGAATTGCTACAAATCACATGTATGCTGGTAAACATCTGCGCTACACAGAGAGAAATTTGCGTATGGCGGGAAAAATGAAATTATACAGCAAAGCGAGCCATCGCTGAACAATTTCAGCCGTGAAACCTGCCATACATGGCACAAAGAACACTGATCGATAAAGAAATGGTATCCGAAGGTTGATAAGCTTCTTTATGCCTTTGAAGCTGTTGTGCTAGGAAAGCTCAATTACACGTTCGGATTAAAGGACTGGCAGCTGGTTGCAATACTGATCTCCTGTAAATCTTTGACAAAAGCTTTACACCGTGTAGGAGAAAGAGAACTCGTATACAAAGAAAAACGACGAAACTTCCTCGCGTATACGTTAAACTCGGTGGTTCAGGCATTCTTTGAACACAAAACTAATATATTACCGCAAACTGAGTACAGACATACAGACAAAGAAGTGCCAGAGGAAAAGAAAGTAAATGAAGAGGGAGGCAAGGAGAGACAAACGGGAAGAATGTGAGACGCAGAAAGGGTAAAAATCTGGCGAAACTGAAACGGACCGAGAGACACTAGAAGTCAGAGAGAGGAATATTCACTTGGGACGTTCCGGCCTCAGTGAGCAAAGTGAAGGAGAGAGAAAGAAGAAGTGAAAGAGAGAAATAGACAAACACAGTGACAGGGACATATAGAATGGGGGCGAGACGCAGGCAAAGTAAAAAGCTCAGCGAAACGGCGAGACTGTGTGAGAGACATCGAGAGTGAGGCAGGGAGGAAAATTCACTTATGATGTTTCGGCCTTATAGAACAATACGAAGAGAGACAGATAGACAAACGGACGGAAAGGAAGTCAAAGAGATAAAAATGAGAGCGACGGATAGAGAAGGAAAAAAGTCATACTGACGTTTCGGCCTCAGTAAACAAAACGAAGTATTTCGGCCAGCATTTTTGTCGTTCTCTTATGAAAACGATATCAACACTGTGAGTGCGGTCTAAATACAAAGCGTTCAGCTGTTTTTGAGTGAATCTTCAAAAAAATATCTGTTCGAATAGACGAATCTGGTTCATACTTCAGTCCAATTTGTAATGACATTTCAATCGACCAACGACAAACGGCAGTGACTAATGCCATGTGAATTTTTCGTATGTTCAATAACTGATCATTTTCTGCAACGCGGTATTCAAGACATTCACCACATACTACTTTGAAAGTTTAGCCAAGAAATGGGTGACACACCGAAACTGAGACATGGGATAACGGTATGGGGCCTTCACAAAATCACAGCAGAACCTAATAATAGCTATTGCGTTTCTAACACAGTTCTATCCGTCTTTCGATGTCCTCTGTTCCTACGAACATCGAAATAGAGATGCATACTGGTAATCCATTCATGCTGGTAAGAACTTAAATGAATTTGCTTTTTAGTGCAGACTGGTAATGTGTGGTCTTCAATATGTTACGGTGCAACTTAAATGTGCAGGAAATAATGCAGATGTATAAGGGTACCTGCGCTGATGGATTACCATTCAGGAGGTAACATAAACATGCTATCCACTGTCGGTGAATCTATATGAATTTCTTAACAACCTTAGTTCCCACCTGAAAGCGCAGAGCGTTTCTTCATTAATGCATGTTCTCTGCTTGACTGGACTTGACCATCTGTTACACGGGCGGTGCACGGCTGATCGGCCGGTCGCTCCGCGTCTGCGCGAATTCATGGCAATGCTGTATGCATTAAATTACTGCATTTGTTTCAGTCATCCTCACACCCTCGTTGTTCCCACTTAAGACATATACGAAGTTGCTGGTTCGCTACAGAAATAATAGTCTAACTACAGGGACAAAACGCACGGGGTTTGACCCTGAATTGCGAACATTTCATCATTTTTTGTTACGAATGAGCATTTTAATATTTACTTTCATTATTGGAAAATGTTGGTGTTTGTCGCGTCCGTTCGTGAAAACTGAAGCAAATAAAATTTGTCTTCAGCAGAGGTCTCCCATATGTGAGCCAAAATCGAATCATTGTGGCGTAAATTTTTTTCTCTTTACCGTTTTCCCGTTCAGAATGCAATTCACCTCATTGTGCATAGGTACAAGTAGCCGACAGAGATGTAACAAGTCGCTAATCTTCGAACAACACAGACAGCATGGTGCTCCAATGCAGTCATGCTACAGGTTGCGAAACTGACAGTAGTCCGTCTGATTCAGAATCGAGAGGTCCCGGGAGGGGTTCGAGCCCCGCAGGTCACTCGCCTTTTCTCCTCCCAGGGTAGATAAATGAGCACAAATCGTTGAGGAAAACAACAGAATACCGCGCCATCATAATACTGTGCTTGCCACATCGCTGTAAACTCTGCATTAAAATCATAAGGCGATCCTGGCTGATAGCACAGAAACGGAAATCCGCACGTCACCAGAAGTTTAATGAAGATGAATGGGCGCCATAAACGGATCTTAGTCACGAATGCGTAAAGAACAACGATGTGCATGTCCTCCCATACGTGGGACGGGTCAAAGCATCAATTCACTTAGCC